CAGCCACCGCGCGCCGAAGGCGCTCCGACCCCCGTCGCGGCGCGACGACGAGGCGTTGCTGACCCCCGTCGGGGGGGGTACCCCCCCACGCTTATGAAGAAACCCAGAGTAAAGATTAGACTTTGCCAGGGACGGTGGTAAGAAGCTCCACGATGAGGCCAGATCAGTGCTGCTGGATCAGCCCAAGGGAATGTAAGAGCCGATGCGGAATCGAGCCTCCTCCCAGGAATGGCGCCCTGGGGGGGAAGGGAGGGACGCCGAGCACAAGCCAAACACACCCCCCGTGCGCGCTCGACCTCGCGACGTGCCCTGGCCCTCCGTGGGGGGCGAGTCGGTCTATAGGCACAGCCCCGCGGGCAACGAGCTGCGGGCTCCGCCCACAAACATGTTCAGAGCAATCAGGCTGATAAGCTTAGAGGTCAAAACATCCACCCCCATAATAACCACCCCGACACGCGAAGTCGTTTAGCAAACGCGCTCAAAGAGGGAATCAAACAGGGCAGGGCTGTTTAGTAAACGCCGAGGGCAGTTTAGTAAACGCCAATTGTCGGGTGCGGGTGGGTTTTCCTCCCTTGAAAGCTGCAACGTCGAGGCTGAGGCCGAAACATGGCAAATAGCGTGGTGCCCCCGGAAAGCGCCGACGCTGCTCGATGAGAGGCGGGCGCGACAATCGACATGCACGCAGAAGGCAGAACAGCATGCGAAACGCATGAGTCCCTAACAAAATCAACCCGCACCAGCCCACCGACGTTCTCATCGGTCAAAGGCGCAGCTCAGCTCTGCAGCACGCGTACGATATACTCTCTCGTCCCCGACCTCGTCGCGCTCGCTCTCCACATCCTCCCTCCTCGACTCGCCTCCAAATCCTCCTCCCCCGTCCTCCTCTGGCGCCATCGGCGTAGACACACACCCGGGTCTCTGAGAAGACCGCTGCGCACGACGACCAACTCAACACATCATCTATCATGTGCTTCGTCATACCAAGCGCGATCCGAGGTCCCGAAAGAACAGTGCGTCCGAGCAGAGAGGCCAGAGGAGCTGCGGCTGTAGACTATGATGAGGTCGGGCATGTCCCCCTACAGGTAGATTTTGGACGAAAATTTAAAATTGTAAAAAACATACGCCCCAAATGCTCAGAAATATTCAACATATCGACCCCTGACTATCTTTTGGATAGTTTTGAATATTCCTCCTGTAGAGGGACAGGCCCGACTTAAGACTATGATAACAAATGGTCAATACATGGCGGCGCGTCACAGGGAGTGGGGGCACAGGGGGGCGGCCTTCTATTTAGGCTTGGGGTCCTCAGAAGGGACTGGAAGCTTCTAAGCAGGGCTGGACCTAAACGTTGTTGTTCGTTTTGCTGATCGTTTTGTTCTACCTGTTCTCCTGCACCTCCCTGGCAACACGAAAAACAAGACACAGCCGAATTCCAGCAAAACAGCGTTTAGGTCCAGCCCTGCTCGGGAGGCAGGTCGGCTCCGAAGCAGCCCTGTGGCTTCTCAGACGGCCGCCCCCCTCTCGCCCCGCCCCAAACCGAGATCCGCTCGAGGCAGGTCCCATGACGCCGCCTGAGGTCTACCCCGGCAAGGCTTCGATCGGCGTCCAGCCGTGGCCATGTGGGCCCCCCCCCGGAGGCCCAGACGCCACGACGCTGGAGGTCGAACCTCCAGACTTGGACGCCAGGACTGGGTACGGCAATCATGCGTACGATGCCAAACAGCACATGCTGTCCAAAACCGACAGCGGCCGCTGTTGGGTAAGTGACATTCTGGCCTACATGGAAAACGTCCGCGCGAGGCGACACCGACCGACAACGGCTCCTGTTCAGGATGTGCAGGAACTGTTGCCGGCCTTCGTCACGTTTCTTGCCGTACCCGTTTCGATCCTCCAGACCAGAGGGTCGAGCCCCGAGACAGTACCATGGTAAACTGAGCTTCTCGCGCCGACCCTGGTCCGCGTCAGGGATCTATGATTGGCCCACACCCGTCGCTTTGGACACGTGCCCCCGAGGATCCCGCGGAGCTCGTGGATGTTGAGATTCCTGGCCCTCACACGGGGCGGGCAGCCATCCAGCATTCGGAGGCAAGCCTCCAGATCGGTGACATCGGACATCGACAAAACTTCCTTTGCGCAGACCGCCCTTTAGTGAAAACTTCCACGGGCACTCCACGTGCGCACGGCACCGTTTGACAAGTGCACCCCAGCGGGGTAGCTAATTGACCGATAACTCAAACCAACTCATTGTATCCGGCGAGACGCAAGTCGATAAGCGAAACCGACTGGGGACTGCACCGGCACACTCGAATGCCAATGTCGAGTGAACCCGTGCAGTTTTCATATCAATGCCCGAAATGATATTTCTGCTCTTCTCGCGGGGCGGGAATGTATCCAATACAGTCGGGAACTTTTGCTTAGCGTGTCGCATCGGCGCCCCTGGCGACGCCCTGCGAGCGGATAGCGTGTCGCTCCGCTTCGCGGAGCAGGAGGGTGGGAAAAGCTTGGGACAATGCTTGGGGACCGGGACGTGGATAGCGTGTCGCGCCGAAGCGTGGTGGGCCAGAACAGGTGAAGGCACACGCCAAGCCAAAGTTCCTGACCGTATCCATCGACCCGCGAGATACTCGGAGGCACGCTTCTAAGTCATACGAAGACCCTCCGACGTCGTAGCTTCCTCACAGCACCGACCCCCGTAAGTCCCGACCACTTCACTTCCCGGGGACCGACGTTTCGTCCAAGCTGTGTTTTCACAATGCAGGGGACTCGCGAGGGCCCCCAATGGTTTTATGATGCTCCCATCGCACTCAAGGACCACATCCCAGAAATCATTTCGAGCACCCAGAAAAGTATCGAAACACTGTCGAACGAGTATCGCCTCCCAGGGCCCGACGCGTGAAAATCCTCTAGTTTCGCTACTCTCCTGGTGCTCGAAATTCTTCCTGGTGATGAATCCAAGCAAAAACAGGTTGGAACATCATAACAATGGTTGGAGCTTGCCCCAAACTTCCCGCCGCGATTTTGTTCACGACGCGAGGGCTTTCGAATCGTGGCCCGGGTCTCGGGCGGCCGCTCGGGAGACGAGACGGGCACCAACGGAAAAGACTCCCGGCGAAAAGCGCAGCTGCTGGACAGCACCCCGCCCGGGGCTGGAAGACCCCCGCGAACCACCGAGAAAACGTCCGAACTTTCCCCGTCGGCGGCGAGGCGGAGGCAATCCGCGCCACCGTGGGGCGAATCGGGGCAACCGACTGGCACACTGTCCGGCGTGCCAGGGAACGTCCGAACGCCTGGGCAGCGGTACCCCAGCGGCGCCGCTGCGGCAACGCCTGTCGTTTTCCGGCAGCGGTCTCGGCGCGCCGCGGGGAGCGGGAGGGGCGCACGTCCTCGCGCCGCGTCTGGCGGCATCAGGCAGTGCGGGCTGGAGGGGAGGGGGACGACAGGCGGGGAGACCAGCTAGGATGAGGGAACAGGAAGGAAGTGAAGGAGGAGGAGGAGGAGGAGGAGGAGGAGGAGGAGGAGAGATGAGGCAGGAGGCAGTTGGAGGAGGGAGGAGGGAGGAGGGAAGAGGGAGGAGGGTGGAGGAGGAGGGAGGAGGGACCACTGCAAACCCAAGACTCATCAACGATGTTGGGATAAACCCATGTCTGGGACTTCAACACCGCGAATCAGTGTAACTTCTGCGCCCTCACAGTCCTGAGTCCCTCCAAAACACCATTGCTGGCACGTTGGCCATGGGAATCCGTGAAAGTCTTGCAATGCTTTAACACGTGTGCGCGCGGCGCTAAAGCGAGAACCACATTTTGAGGAACCACCCTTAACCCGTGAAACTCTGGTAAACTGCTAAACGAATGTGCGCGGCGCTAGGACGTAAAACACGTGTTGAAAACGACCCGCACTGAATCCTTGAAACTCTTGCAAACATTGGCAACAAAAAATGTGCGCGGAGCTGAGGCGAGAGCCACATTTTGAAAACGACCCGCCCTGAACCCGTGAAACTGTAAACTCTGCAGAACGAATGTGCGCGGCGCTAAAGAGATAGTCACATTTTGAAAACGGCCCGCTCTCAATCCGCGAAACTCTTGCAATTTGTGTAAGCGAATGCGCGCGGCGCTAAAGCGACGAGCCACATTTTGGAAGCGACCTGCCCTCGATCTGTCAAACAGGTGCCAATGTTGAAGCTTCAGGTCCATAAACTCTGAGGAAGGGTGCGACAGGGAGGAGTTATGAGGAGTGGAGGGAGGGGGACCAGCTCGGGGGGGGAACTGTCGACCTGGGATCGGCGATACGTCGCAGACAGATCGGCGATGGGCCCCCGATGGCAAATCCGCAAGGTCTTGGGCGGGGTGGGCTATTGGGCCCCTGTCGGCGATCAGTGGGCGATTGGGGGCGATGCATACCCCCCCGAGCCTACCACCCCCTCGGGTTGCCCCCGAAGAAGGGACATAAGAGCGAGGCGGGAAGGTTCGGTGGCAACTCATGTGGGCCTCCCATACCATCTTGTCGGCCCTTGCGAATCGACGCTAGTCGACGCCAGATCGACGCTAGTCGACGCTAGATCGACGCTAATCGACGCTAGTTCGACACTTATCGAAGCTCATCGACGCGAACTCGGCGCTCTCTCATCGACTCCCAGACGCTCATGGACGCCGGTCGACGCTGAAGACGGAATTGAGAGGGTATACCAGGCTCCCATGATTTGCGACCGAAGAGAGGATCGGCTGCACGCAAGAGTGGCCCTACGGGAGGTTCGTGTCGTGCCGACCCCAGCGTTGGTTCTTGACACCGCAGGGATCGTTCAACCTTGAACGATCGGCCGCTGCCGCAACGTCCGATCGTTCAACATCGACCGATTCTGGGCCGCCCGCGGCGTTCAACCTTGAACGCCGCTGGCGGGGTCGCCGCGAGTCGACACGACGCAAACCTACCGTAGGCAAGGTGACCTTTGGTGCGCGGCTCCTGGGAGGGTCGCGAGGGAGCCCAACCCGTGGCCGCAGGCCGCTGCCATCGCACGGCTCTCCACGAATCGGGGGGGGCCCCTGTGGGCCCGCACCGGAGGCCACCCTGGCGAAAGGCCACTCTGATGTGCAGTCGAGAGGAGTGGGGCAGAAAGGAGGAGGAGGAGGAGGAGGAGGAGGGGGCAGAGGAGGAGGAGGAGGAGGAGGAGGAGGAGGAGGGAGGGAGGAGGCAGAGGAGGAGGAGGAGGGGGAGGAGGAGGAAACGGATGCCCGAGCCGCGCTCCCCCCCCCCTCCGGCCGACGAAAAAACGGAGAAGCCACGGCCGGGCGGCCCCGCCCTCCGCGCGGGCCGGCCGCTTGGATTCTGGGGCGGTGCGGCCTCGGGCTGCGCTCAGACGGCCCCCGCCGAGGTGAGCGAGCGAGCGAGCGATCCACCGATGCGGAGCATCCGACGGACGAGGCCGTGGCCTCTCTCTCTCTCTCTCTCTCGCCGTTTCCCTTTCTCTTGTTTCCTCCTCTCTCCCTCCCTCTCTCTCTCTCTCTCTCTCCCTCTCTCCCTCTCTCTCTCTCTCCCCCTCTCTCTCTCTCCCCCCTCTCTCTCTCCCCCTCTCCCTCTCTCTCCCTCTCCCTCTCTCTCCCTTTCCCTCACTCTCTCTCTCTCTCTCCGCTGGCCCCCCTGTGGGGCCACCAGGCTGTAGGACGAGGCTTTGCTGTTCCCTGCGCCAGTTCCAGTTTCCAGTTTCCGATGTGATAGTTTTGCTTCTTGTTGTATTACTGTTGCTTGTTGTAGACCGCGCGAGGGGGCGGAGCCGAAAAGCACCCTGGTTAGCACCTCCCGGGAGGGGTCTCAGAATTCCTGGGGGGGGGCGTGGAACATGGAAAAATACATGTAATTCGCGTCCCCAAATACATGTAATTCGCGTCCCCGAAGCCATAAACCCACATAAGTTATACAAGATTCGCGTCCCCGAGGCCACTAACCCTAGTGCATTACGCAATAGTCGCGTCCCCGAAGCCATAAGCCCTTGCAAAATACGCCATATTCGTATCCCCGAAGCCATAAATCCTAGTACATTGCGCGATGCTTGCGTCCCCGAGGCCACAAACGCTTATGAATCACGCGGTATTCGCGTCCCCGAACAATAAACCCTCGTAACTTACACAATATTCGCGTCTCCGAAGCCATAAACCAACGTACATGACACGATTTGAAACCCCGAGGCCATCAACCCTTGAAAATCAAATAATAATCGCGTGTCCGAAACCATAAACCTTCGTAAATGATACCAGATTCGCGTCTCCAAAAACTCAAACCTGCCTAAATTATCATGTATATGTGCGACCCAATCTCGTAACTTACACGCTATTCGCGTATCCGAAGGCATAAGCCTGTTGTCAATTACGCTATAGTCGCGTATCCGAAGCCATCAACCATTCTAAATTACAGTCAAATTACGCTCTGCTCGCGGCCCCGAAGCCACATGTCCGAAATTATGTGGGAAACCTCAATGCACAGCATACGGAGGCAGGTTCAAAATGCAACGATGAGTTCAACAATACTATCAGGATCTCAACTTCTCTTGCCGATGCTGCTTCACGGCGGCGCCGATATATGTGTATATATAGATATATTATAACTCATATAATCAGAGTAAGGGGGATAACGGTCATTCACTGTCCCTGAGTGCATGGCTGAAATGGAACCCGCGATGTGGATTACTGTTGCTGATGATGTTGTTGCTTGTTGTTGTTCATGTTGTTGTTGGTGTTGTTGCTGCTGCTTCTGCTGTTGTTGGTATTGTTGTTCCCCAATCAGAGCTTGCCTCTGTAGGGGTTCTTGCGGATTCATATGGTTAGGTCAGGTTTACCGCCGATTTTCGCCGCACGCCCGGGTGCCCGGGTGCCCAGGGGTGCCCGGTTGCCCGGGGGTGGGTGCCCGGGTGCCCACGTGTGCCCGGAGGTGCCCAGGGGTGCCCGGAGGTGCCCCGGGGTGCCCGGATGCCCCGGGGTGCCCGGGTGCTCTATCGCCCTAAAGCCCTATATAGCCCTATATCCCTATACCCCTATAGACCTATAGCCCTATAGCCCTATGGCCCTATAGCCCTAGCCCTAATAGCCCTATAGCCCTATAGCCCTATAGTCCTGATGCCCTATAGCCCAATCGACCTATAGCCCTATAATCCTATAGCTCTTGTAGGCCTATAGCCCTATAGCCTTATTGCCTTGTAGCCCTACAGCCCTATGTTGCTATAACCCTATAGCCCTATAGTCCTGTAGCCCTAGCCCTATGGTCCTATAACCGTACCTATAGCCCTACAGCCCTAAAAATATAATGATTGGGGCTTTTCTCCGGTATCATTGTGATTGTTGCTTGATGATGTTATTGTTTGTTATTGTTTGGCGTCGTCGCCCCCGCGACCCGGCCCGCGACCCACCCGCAACCCCCCCCGCGACCCACCGGCGACCCACCCGCGACCCACCCCAAGATCTACCCCGCGACGCACCCGCGACCCACCCCGCGACCCACCCCGCGACCCACCCGCGACCCGGCCCGCGACCCACCCCGCGCCCACCCGCGACCCACCCCGCGACCCACCCCGCGACCCACCCCGCGACCCACCCCGCGACCCGGTCCACCCGCGACCCAGCCTGCAACCCACCCACATCGCTTTAACGAAACAAAAAGGCGCCTGCGGCGGGCTCACTGCATAATCTATCAAAGTTAGGCGCCTGCGATGGGCTTCTTCAGAGAGCCTCGCAAACTGCCGACGTCCTCGCTGCCCCCCCACTCTTATCCGCCACCGCGGGGTGCTACGTATGTGTATGCATACTGCCGCGCGCACAAAACCTGTGCGCGTGCTGTGGGACACGCAACGAAAAAATGTACAACGCACGATGACATGGCGACCTTGCGCGGTGGCTTACGCGGCCGCCGGCACGGCACGCTAGATTGGAAACGAGGGCGCGTACGCGGGACCTCACGCGCCTGTGCTTGCGGCTGGCCTCAACAGCCTCCCCGAGTAGTCCCGGCTGGCCTCCACGGCCCCCTCGTAGACCAGGGCGGTCTCAGCACCCCTGCGCCGCCTCCGGAGGCGCCCCTAGGGCGTCCCGCGCCCCAGAGTTGGGGTGCTGAGACTGCTCTGGACTACTCGGGGGGCCTGTTGAGGCCAGCCGGAACCACCTGGGAAGGGCTGCCTGCGCACAACCCGAAGCCTTACCATTCTGGCGCGTCCTGGGACGAAGATGAGTCCCAGCAGGCAGCGCGATAGGCGCGCCGCGCAGCCGCGCCACTCCTAGTATTGAGTGGCGGGCCGGCCGTTCGATTCTGGTGCGTCCTAGGACGAAGATGAATTCCGGGCGGCAGCGCGATAGGCGCGCTGCGCAGCCGCGCCTCGGCTGCCCACTCCTAGTAGTGAGCTCGGGAAACAAGTAATGACATAACGATGAAATCTCGGAAGTATCGCTCGGATTTCTTGGGTCGGCGCTGGACCCCCCGTGGCGGCGCCTCTGGCGCCGCCCCCGGCGCGCGCCGCGCGCCAGGGAGGGGGGTGCAGCGCAGACCCACAAATTCGCGCGGACCTCCGCAAGTACATGGTCATGTCATTGTATGTTCCTCAATGAGTAGGAGGGATCCCGAGGGCAGGACATCGATTCGTCGCCACTCCCATCAGCAACGTGTGCAGATGGCAGCTCCTGAGTGATCTTCGTGGGCGCCATGGGCGCCTTCAGGATGAGATCTCCTGACCGTGCGCAACCCTCGCCTGCCTCAGACTCACGCACGCCTCCCAGCCGCCATTGCACGGCACCGAGCTGGCCGGCTGCGTCACTGCAAAGCCGCAGTCCTCGGAGCCGCCCTGGGCACCTGCGCCGACGGGCAGAATGCTGGCCTGCGCGAGGAGGTCCTCCCAGCTGCCGGCGCTCGAGGCCGAGTCGTCGTCCGGCTGCCGTGCGTCGCGCGCCCCGTCGGCTTCCGCCTGCAAGTGCGCAGGCTGCTCGACGGAGTCCAAGACGGCGCCCTCGCCGCACACGTCGGACGCCTCGATCTGGACGGGGCTGGGGCACTCCTCCCAGCCGTCGTCGCTCAGGGCACTGCCACCTGGCGGCTGGGCAGCGCGCTGGTCAGGAGGGTGCCCGTGCAGGGGCTGCTCGGCGGTGCCCGAGCTCGCACGCCGTGGTGCAACTGGCAGCCCGACCCCCAGTAGTGCCATGAACTGCTCGTGGCGCTTGCTCTCGACAAACGAGGCCGGGGCTTTCACTTGCTGACCGGCGCGCGCTGTGGCCCGGGGCAGCGCAGGCAGCCGCGCCCGCGCGCGCGCCTCGCGGCGGGCCACGAGCTCCGCCTCGAAGACCGAGACCCGCTTCGGCTGCAGCGTCTTGCGCTCGAGCAGCAGATCCTGGACCCAGTCGTTTCGGCTCATTCCTCTGGCTGTAGGTCGACAGTTTCGGGGGAGACCAAGACAGCGGGGCGTCCAAGAGAGGGGGGCGCAAATCATGGAGGGACGTAGTGAACAAAGTAGAGGGGCCATGAAATCAGGGGAGATGACACGGCCCTGGCCATGAGATCGACCCCCCCCAATCATCACCCCCCTCTTGGCCGCCCCCAACAGTGTACGGCGAGTCTTTCCTGCGAGGGCCTGGGCCAAGAATGACCTGAGGCAAGCGGCTGCAGAATCACAATGACAAACAACTGCACGAACATATATTTGGAGGCCTGCGCTGATTTCTTGGGCCGGCGCTGGATCCCCCTCCCTGGCGCGCGGAGCGCGACAGGGGCGGCGCCAGAGGCGCCGCCAAGGGGGGTCCAGCGCGGACCAAAGCTCAAGCTTATTCAATGTGTGTTGTTCCCCTGGGGGTCCGCCGGGGACGAGGGAGGAGAAAGGGGGTTGGGCACGAACACAAGAAATCCGCATGGACCTCCGATAACGTATGTTTATGTTCGCGTGTGTTCTCAAATGTGGGCGAACAGTCTAAGAAACCGCGACAAAACCCCAACACCCAATTCATCGAGCCCGATCTGATCCGTGAGGCACAGACCCCGGACGTCATGTTTTGCCACGACACCCAAAAATCTCGACACCCTCCTCCCAGACTGGCCTTCAATCATCCCGGGTCCTTCTTGACAGCCCCAGGGCTCGGCGAGGACCCCCGGAGCCGGAACATCGCAGAAGCAAAGCACACGTCGTGATTGCACGCGACGCGAAGGGTCGGGGCCCGGGCCCCGAATCCAGGCAACAAAAACGCCAGCATGTTTATATATATATGTGTATATATATATATATAACAAAAAAAACAAAACAAAACAAAAAACAAAAAAAAAAAAAAAAAAAAAAAAACTGCGGCGCACGGCCCCCTGGGGCCCCTGCGGCGCTGGGCCTGGGCCCCCGAGCTGGGCCGCGAACCCCCCCACTTGGCGGCGCGCACAAGGGGGTATAGGGGGAGGGGGGAAGGCTTCTTAGAAGGAGGCTGCTTCTTAGAAGGCGCCGGCCTTACATCTACAAAGAAGGCCCGCGCCTTCTAAGAAGCAGGGGTGCTTCTGAGAAGCCTTCCCCCCTCCCCCCACCCCCCTTCTGCCCGCGAACCCCCCCACCCAACGCGCCTGCCGGCGGCAGCTGCGCGGTGGCCGCGCGCCGGACCGGCACGGGCGAGATGCTCCGCGCGGCGGCGCCGACGCGCGCTGGCAGACCTCGGCGGCGGAAGAAGGCGCCCGTCACGGCGCGGCCGATGCGGCCCAGACATGTAGGAACGCCCGGTCCGAGCATGATGAGGCATCAGATGAAGGCAGGCATAGAACTGGCTGATCGGCCCGGACCAATCCGAGCGGCAACACGCGGTGGAAGGCGGCAGCAGCAGCAGCAGCAGCAGGAAGAGAAGCACGCAGCAGAGGGAGGACGGGGCGAGGAGGGAAGCAGGAGGGAGACTCGAGGAGGGAGGAGCGCCCACGAAAGCATGAGAGGAAGGACGAGGAGGGAGAGGCGCCTCCGAGCGTGACGGAGGAAAGGAGGGGGGATAGAGGCAGGCGGAGAGGAGAGAGGAGGGAGGCAAGAGGGAAGGAAAGAGGAGGGAAAGCGGAAGGCTTTAGGAGGGAGGAGGGGGCGGGTGACCTACACAACAGGTGGGGGCGGAGCAGGCGGGGAGGGACAACTCCACACATGGCATCTGACCTACGGTCTTGCAGGTACAAAGGGTACTCGGGCGCTGATGCTTCGCTTCCTCCCCCTCCCTCGCTCGTATTGTGTTACTCTTTTGTTTACGCTCTCTCGCTCTCTTTCTTTCTCTTTCTCTCTCTCTCTCTCTCTCTATGTATATAACTACTGTTATTTTTCTCTATACCTATAGCTCCGTCGATCATAATCAACCATGCGCCTCCCTGCTAATTCCTCTGGCCAAATCCGCCGACCCTGTCGGCGTGTGTGGTGTGTCTGTCCGGTTCCGGGAGAAAGAGACGAGGAGGACCCTGATCTCTCCCGTTGGGGGAGAAAGAAAGAGAGAGAGAGAGAGAGCACCCTTCCTTGTTCGGGGAAAGGGTTCGTGGCTTGAGGGAATTCCATCCGCTTCCTATTTCATCAAAGGGAAGCCCCTTCCCTTTGTCCCTTCCCCCGCCGGGGTCCCGGGATGGGGGGAGGGGGGGGGCGGGGGGCGAATTCGCATCCCCCGTTTGCGGCTTTTGCAGAGGGGCCCTCTGCAGTTGCGCTGGAGGAGGGGGAGGTCGCCACGACGGATCCGCATGAACGCCCCTAGACGGCCCAAGCTCCACAAGACAGCCTATGAACGCTAAAGGACGGCCAAAGGGGTCTCCCAGACGGCCAAGAGACGCCGCCCAGATACTTTTCCCCCTCGAGCGCCCCCGAATCCACGAAAAGCTGTTTTCAAAAAACCTCAGAATGCCACAACGCCTCCTACTCTTCCTCCTCCTCCTCCTCCCCCTCCCCCTCCTCCTCCTCCTCCTCCTCCTCCTCCTCCTCCTCCTCCTCCTCCTCCTCCTCCTAATCATCATCGTCCTCTTCTTCATCCTACTCCTCCTCCGCCGTCTCCGCCTGCCTCCTCCCTCTCCTCCTGCTCCTCCCTCCCTCTCCTCCTCCTCCTCCTCCTCCTCCTGCTCCTCCTCCTCCGCCTCCTCCTCCTCCTCCTCCTCCTCTCCTCCTCCTCCTCCTCCCCCTCCTCCTCCTCTTCCTCCTCCTCCCCCTCCCTCCTCCTCCTCCTCCTCCTCTCCTCCTCCCTCCTCCCTCCTCCCTCCCTCCTCCTCCCCCCTCCTCCTCCTCCTCCTCCTCCTCCTCCTCCTCCTCCTCCTCCTCCTCTCCTCTCTCCTCCTCCTTCCTCTCCCCCTCCTCCTCCGCCTCCTCCTCCTCCTCCTCCTCCTCCTCCTCCTCCTCCCTCCTCCTCCTCCTCCTCCTCCTCCTCCTCCTCCTCTCTCCTCCTCCTCCTCCTCCTCCTCCTCCTCCTCCTTCCTCCTCCTCCTCCTCCTCCTCCTCCTCCTCCTCCTCCTCCTCCTCCTCCTCCTCCGCGAGCGCATCGGAGCGAGCCCGAAGGCAGGCCAGATCGAGACCCACCGTTCGCCAACCTGGCCGCCAGCCGCAGCCCTCAGGGCGCGAGCGCCCAGCGCTGGTGATCGAAGTAGAAGAGCAGGTACTTCCAACAACCACCTGCACAACTATCCAGACAAACCCCAGACATCCAACCACCAAAACCAGTACGACGAGGCAGTTCAGGTGCGCGACCTCCTGGGCAGAAGAAGGCCACAACACACCCCCAGCGGCCAAGCGGGCTGACACCATCAACCCACCAGAAGCATGCTTTCGCACATCCGCTGCAACGAAGGGGGTGTGGCCAAAAGAAGAGGACAAGGTCCGCGGCCTCGTTGGAATACGCGCGGCCCAAACACCCCCTCAGCGGCGAACTGGGCTGACACCATCAGCCCACCAGAGGAGTGCTCACGCACATCCGCTGAAGCAAAGGGGGTGTGGCCCATAGAAGAGGCAGACCAGGTGCTCGACCTCGTAGAAAATGAAAAGGCCACAACACCCCCTCAGCAGCCAAGTGGGCTGGCACCGTCAGCCCACCAGAAGAGCGATCTCGCGCACCCGCTGAAAAGAAGGGACGCGGCCACTAGAGAAGAACATCACCTCGATCGGCTCGCCGAACTTGCCTCGACGGGCTCCAGCACCGCTCCCGACACCGGGCGACGACCATCAAGGCCACGCTCCAGCTTCCTTCTGTTCTGCTCACCGTAGGCCGTGGTGGTGCACATGCGCTGGCCCCCCACCAAAACGCT